CGATCAATAATATAATTAAGAACAATTACTATTAATTATACTTCACTAGAAAATATTATAATCAATATTAATGTAAAAGCAGAATTATAAATTTATTACGTATGTACACAATTAATTATTAAAAAATGTGTAACTATACTGAAATACATGTATACTTTTCAAAATTATAATTGATATTCCGGCATCAAGTGCTAAAAACGAAAAAAGACGAGCAACCATGTACTAAAAAAAAATACGTCACAAAGTTACATAATAAAATCATATAATTAAGACAAGTAAATACGTAACAGATTATTCCGAATCAGTACATGATTTACTTTTTTCAATTATATTACATATTTTGTAATTTTATGACGTGATTTTTTTCAGCTGAGAATAATTAGATCTTCTCTCTCTCTTTCTCTCTCTCTCTCTCTCTCTCTCTCTCTCTCTCTCTCTCTCTCTCTCTCTATGCGTGCGTGCGTTCGTGCGTGTGTGCATGTGTTCAAAATATCAAGAAATAAAGTTAACATTTATATATTAAACTTCTATCCTACTTAAATATTTTTTCTTGATGACGCTTTAAACAAAACATAAATTATAAAGTTACAAACTAAAAATAATCAAGATTATATTTTTGTATTACATTCGCTATTCATTATTATCAGAAGTGATATCGCTTTATCATAATATTGTATATGATATATAGTAAAAGGGTATTGTATATTGCGTTAAATGCAATTCTACATCTACACTTATAATAGAGAACAGAGATTATCACGGTAAATACACTGTTGTCACATGTAATGTTATATATGTTACATATATAAGTACATAGATAACAGATAAAAGAAGAAAATCAGTTAATAGAAATTTCCAGTGCAGATCAGTTCTTTCATTAAAATGAAACTATATAATAAAATTCTAAAAACAAAAGAATTTTAAATAAAATAATTTCGCATTATTATAAGCGAAATTATAAAATCTTTGATTATTATATAAAAGTGTGCGCGTGCGCACATAAGCGTTTCAAAATACATAAACAATTTATTATATATGTATGATATAAATATATTTATGATGATATGTACCATTTTAAAAATTCATTGTAATTTCTTATAATATAGTTGCTTACAATATCATTACTCTGGTAGATATTTACATAATATGTAAAATATTCTACCTGTCATTATAATTTAAGTAATTTATTAATGTATATGTTTAATTTGTATGTTCGTTTGTAAAGTATAAAGAAAAAACAATCTAAATCGAGCGGTAATAAGATTTTTTAATTAATAAATTTCTAGTTTATAATATTACTAAGAGAGAACCGACATAAAATAAAAATATATAAAAGTATAAAAATAATATCGAACGTTTTGGAACTCACACACACACAATACACACACACACAGGGCCTTCTTCAGCGATTCATAAAGATGTTTTGATGTCGACGATATGAACGCATAATCGATTAATCCAGTTTTAGTCCATTTCGTCCTAAAATGGATGTTTTTAATAAGTCGAAAACGGTAACAGTGGATGTTTTTAAAACGTTTTTAATATACTTATGGATTTAAGTTGGATGTTTTTAATATGTCCAAAACGTCCAACATTTACGTTTTAAATACCATATATTTTTAAAACGTTACTGTGCTGTATGTCATTACAAATGTATTCTATTCTATAAAAATATATATTATTTATCAGACTTTTTTATTATCTCAAAGGTAATAATCAGTAAGTGCAAATTCTAATTATGAAATATAATGTAAAACTTGATTTGTAGTCGGGCTGTGTGGCTCCGCGGTAAAGACAGTGGCTTTGTGATACGAACTACTACGAGGTAAAACTTGATTTGTACGTTTTTAACATAATCTTTTAAATTAGGATATTTTATATTACGATTTTTCATAAAGCAGTACGAAATTTTAATAAAATCATATAATTTGATTAATATAATTAAATAATTTTATGTCTTTGATTTAATCATTTTATTATTTAATAATAATCTATTAATTATTTTAAAACTTTGTTTTTTTCATAAAATATTATAAATAGTTTTATAAAATATTAAGAATAATCTTAAAGATATATTAAAGGTATATGAGATTGATTTGATAAAGTTGTATCTCTACACGGAAACTGCATTAATCTTAGATCAGCGATATAAATTGATTTGAGAACTTACTGCGGACAATTGTATAGTGATACAATTAGTAATAATAAATCTCACAAGTTCTAATCTATAATATCTTGTTGTTACTTTCGCGTATTTTTTCTAGATATTTAATTATTGATTTGTTTTAGCACGTAACGTTTTGTGCAAGCAAAGATACATGTGATAACAAAGTTTTATATGAAAAAATTACAGCATCGTCATTGACAATCCTGTGATAAGATATCAATAATACTATAGATAATCTCTGGGTAACAAAAACCAAAACGCATTTAATAAGCTCTCATTTGATCGAGAGCTATTCGTGCAAATTATTTAGAAACGTGCTGTGAAAATCGGATACATCTATTGTCGGCGATAGAAGTGTGACCACAAACCTTTTAGAACGTTATTTTGTTTAAATGTGATTGAAATATTAGAAAAGTGGTGAAATAGTTATTCTGTGGCGTCATATTATTACGGATTTAATAAACTTTTGTTTATTTATACAGAATTGCGGACATTTATAACATCGTGAAATAAAATATAAACCATGAAAAAATAGTAAAATAGGCATAAACGAAATGACACTTTTAGTAAAGGTAAGCACACTTAATTTGTAAATAGGTAAAAATTTTCAATTTTTGAAAGAATATTGTGTTAACGACACAAGTTTGCTCTGTAAGAAATATTGAAAATATTAAATCTCACAGACAACTTTTCCGTTTAATTTAATAGGTACACGCATAGATTTTTTCAAAAAGTATTTTATCAAGTTATTTATTTCTTTTAAAATAAATAATTGAGACAAATTTTATTTAAACAAAATACAAAGTAAATATTTATGCAGTGTATTTAATTAAATTACTAACTGAATAAAAAAATCCACATGTGTTCATGCATATAACGTGTCTACTAATATTTTTTCATACGGAATTCATGAAAAATTATACAATCCTTTCAGATGAGGATCTTGTGGGATTATTTGTTCCTTTGCACTCTAATCACATTACTCTGCGGAAACACAGCACACAGCTCCCCATTACACAATGGTAATTCTGCCTATTTCATATTTAATATACATACATTTTGTATCGATTAATCTTTCGAAAAATATTTATAAAAAAGTTGAAACGTATATATAATGCTGATACTCCTAATACATAAAATTATATATTTTTGCATTTTAGATAAACAAACATGCGTTCTTTTTAATATTTGTCCGTGTTTAAAAATAAATTTGAATTTCACAAGAGTATTACTATAAAATTTTAGCATTATAAAATTAAATGTCATTAGTAGTAATAATTTTATCTATCTATATAAATCTAAGAACATTTTCGATACAATTACTTTATTTGTCTAATTTTGTGACAATTTTGCATGAATAATTTTTTAAATTATTTCGTTTATGCGGCTTTAAGATAACTTATATAATTTTCTAGGTATATTTACGCAAAATCTGGATATCTCACAAAGTGATGACTCTATCGACTATAGATTACCAACAAACATTAAACCCCTTTCGTATGATATTATGCTGACTCCAAGATTTGATAACTTTTCATTTACTGGAGTAGCAAAAATTGAAGCTATAGTAGAAAGTGAGACTAACAATATTACGCTGCATGTGGGAAAAATTACAATTGAAACTGTGAATATTATAACATACGCGGCAGATGCAGCCTTGGAGACTTCGTATGACAATATTACTGAAAAATACACTATCACCGTTCCCCGTACACTTCCGAAAAATAAGAATATGGTAATTAGCTTTGCGTACAGTGGAATCTTGTCCGACGACATGATCGGATTTTATAGGAGTTCTTATTTCGACAAAAATGGAGAATTGAAGTAAGTGATATGACTATTTTATTAGTAAAAGAAATAATAAAAAGACTATACGCCATAAATATATCATCTCCAGTAAATGTCATGATGTTTCCTAATACGAATCTCTGTTTAAAACTAGATGGCTAGCTGCAACACAATTTGAATCGACACACGCGAGACATGCCTTTCCATGCTTCGACGAGCCGAGTTTTAAGGCAAAATTTATAATAAGAATAGCAAGAGACGATGAGTATAAGACTATCAGTAATATGCCAATGATAAAAAGTGAAAGATTGTAAGTATCAATAAACTTAACTACCGATATGTTTTCTTTTCTGAATGAATTTTTTTGCTTTAATATATATGTGTACATTTGCTTTCAAGAATACCTGGTGGCAAGATCTGGGATGTTTTCGATCAAAGCGTCCCAATGTCTACTTACTTAGTGGCTTTTGTGATTGCGGAATTCGAGTATCGTGAAGATATTTCAAATCCATTTAAATTTAAAGTATGGTCCAAACCATCCACTGTCAGTCAGACCCAATATGCTTTGGAAATCGGCACTGCAGCACTCAATTTGTTTGGTGATAAATTTCATCAAAGTTATACACTTCCTAAGATGGATATGGTAGCCGTACCTGATTTTGATGCCGGAGCTATGGAAAATTGGGGATTGGTGACATATCGCGAGAGGTATATGCTGTATGATGAAGAAGAATCATCGGCATTAGCTCAGCAGGATGTGGCTTCCGTGATCGCTCACGAACTCGCGCATATGTGGTTCGGGAATTTAGTAACACCAGAATGGTGGAGCTACCTTTGGCTTAGCGAAGCATTTGCTTCGTACTTTGAATACTTCGGTACTGCGGAGGTAAGATTTTTATTGTTATATAACCATCATCGAATATAGTTGAAATGTAATTTTGAAAAGAAAATCGATATTTATGTAAATGTTATAACTCTAAGTAACTTTTCTTATAAAATTTAATTTTGCTCAATTAATATAATTATAGATTAAGTACATTAACGATTTCAAAAATAAATACTTGATTTATACCTTGACATCTACAACAACATCAAGAAATGTAAAAAAAAATTTGTTATAAAATGTTTTAACATCTTTTACATTTTACAAAAAATTAATTAATTAATTTTGTTTTTGTACTCACTTTTGTTTGTTATAGCTCATGGAAGCATGGAACATGAAGGAACAATTCGTAGTAGATCAACATCAACCTGCATTAATAGCGGACGGTCTTGAATCTTCTCTTCCGATGACTCGGGACGTTTCCAGTACATCGCAAATCGCACAAACGGGAGATTCTATTACCTATAACAAAGGAGCCAGTATTCTGCGTATGATGAGTCTCATATTCGGAAATGAAATTTTTGAAGAAGCATTGAGAAGCTATATACAAAATAAGTAAATATTACAGTAAATTATAATTAATTGTATTTTTAAAAAATTAATCGATTTACTATTCAATTTTAAGATATTTATTGAAAACTGCATAACTTATAAAATCAGAAATAACTTGTAAGAACAACTAATTTAACAAAAAACAATTGGAAAAAGAGATTAAATTAATTTGATATCACAATTTATATGGATTATTTTCATTGAATGTACAAATTTTTAATTTCTTGCTTTTATTATTAAATTAATTGTAACATATATTATTTGATTACGCAAAAAATTGGTTTATTACTATTCGATTATATATATATTATATAAATTAGAAACGTTTTAAATTGATATTTCATAAAATCTATATCGCTTTTCCTTAATGTGTATTAAAGATTATACTATTATAAGACATAATGTATTTTTTAGCAAAGAGAAAGGATTAGGTCATCCAGACGCTTTGTGGGAAGCAATAAAAAATCAAATAAATGACGAAACAGATCCAAAAATAAACATTGACGTAAAAACAGTAATGGATTCTTGGACTACAAAAGCCGGATACCCTGTTATAACAATCGGTATTAATGACAATGGTGTATTGAATATTACTCAAGAACGTTTTCTTCTGAGAAATTTCGATGAAACTTCTACGGATATCACCTGGTTTGTCCCACTAACGTTTGCTACACAAAGCAAACCAGATTTCAATGACATGCTCCCAAAATATTGGATATCTACCGCAAGAAGCACCGTTTATTACGAAATTGATCCAAAAGAATGGGTTATATTCAATGTTCAATCATCGGGTTAGTATAGAATAGTGTTTTCAACTGCATACAAAAATAACTTACAACTTACAAAATATGTAAATAGTAATATCCTAATATCTAATACATTTATTTTATTAAACAGTATTATATTATTATTTTATATTAATTATTAAATTATTATTAACTTTGCTGGGATGTATTACATTTAAAAAAACAGAAATATTTTAACATAATAATTATGTGTATTTATTATATATTAAAAATATTAAATAAAAACTTTTAGAATTTAAATCTTAATACACACAATTGTTTGTATCTATCGAATTTCTTTTGTTTAAAATATTAGAAGCAACAAGTAATTATAATATTTATTTGAAAGTTATAATATTTATATACAATTTTTTAATTATAATCCTACAAATTTTTTAAAGATGTTATGGTATATGCAAAATTACTTAATAATTTTTGTATACTTATAATATAAAAGTGATGTAAATTACCAAAATACAAATGACGCATCGTGTATAAATACAATATAAAGGATCGGAAAATGATTGTGTGATATTGAGGGGGTTAATATTATAATTCTTAGATGAATTTACATAAATATTTTATATAAAAATTACTAAAATTTGATACTTTTATTGCAGGCTTTTATCGTGTAAATTATAACAACCGTGGATGGCAAAACATTTTCGATGTCTTGAAAAACGGCAATCTCGATGATATTCATGTATTAAATAGAGCCGCCATTGTAGACGATCTATTAAATCTGGGTAGAGCAGGATATCAAAATTATGATATGATTCTCGATGGATTACTTTATCTTAAAAAAGAAACTAATTATCTGCCCTTCAAAGCAGCATTTAATGGTTTCGAATATCTAAATAAGCGATTTGAAGGATACAAACTTCCATACTCCTTTTTTAAGGTTGATTTTTGTTAATTATAAAACACTAATTTGTACATAATTAAATAAACAGACTTATCTTAATTATAACTATTTACATTGTCTGTCATACACATTTTTTGAGTAACTTGCAATTAATAATTTTTTTAAATACATATTTAAGCAATTAAAATTCTAAGATATTTATATAAATTTAAATAAAAAATAACAAATCTGTTATACATTATTTCATAACAATATTTACTTCATATTTCTTTTTTAGTCATATGTCTTGTCTCTTATCGATTCCATAAACGTTGAACTAGGATATGAAGATAACGAAAATGATGACAGATTTACAGTTTTGTTACGACAAGAGGTGAATAATTGGCTCTGTAATAAATTTGACAATAACGAATGTGTAATGAATTACATAGAGAAATACAAACAGTGGAGAGAACATGCTACTGCTCGGTAAGAATATAGAAACATTATCTCATTTTTATTAAGATCTCCATAGTATATACATATGATATACACAGTAAAATTTAATTTTCCAGTAGCTTCTAGTATCTTTATAAAATGTTTGTGTATATCTATATGTGTGTGTATACATATATATGTATTTTATATATATATATGTATATATGAGCCCCTTAGTTGACATAATATATGCCTTATAAGCATAAGCCTTATGTCATTTGGCAACTAAAAGGCTCATATATACAAACTTTTTGCAATCTATTCCGTAAACAGCTATTAAAAAAAAAATATTTCAACTTTTGCGTATAATATTAAAAAAAATTGATTATAATTTATTTAAAATAATTTTATTATAATTTAGCTAATATATCAAATTGTTTAATATTCAATAGCATCAAACCGAATGAAAGACCCATAGCATACTGCACAGCCATAAAACATGGAACTTCTGAAGATTGGGAATTTTTGTGGCAGGAATACATTGATTCCGATTGTGCGACCGACCAAATGGTCATTTTAAAAGCTTTGGGATGCAGTCAGAATACTACTATCTTGGAAAAGTAAGTCTTGAAATATACGTTAAAACATTGTTTAAAACTACCGCTCAATGTATGGAAGTACTGTTATTTAAAGTAATAAAATAAAGATTACTTGTATTATAATATTTATTGTAGATAATAAGCTATCCAGCTTAAACTTTATCTAATCAATTGATATAATTAAAAATTTGTTTTCAAGACTCGATTAGGCTTTACACTTTACACTTTCCTCGATTTTTAAATCATACGAGTCAATTATTATTATCTATTATTATCTTTCATTATATAATTAAAAATGTTTATATTAATAAAATACAAGTAATTAAAATTTTTTTATTATTCTCGGTAGTGTTAATATTTGGCCTACATAATCGTAATTCTGATACAGAAGAAAATAGCGCTACGATAGAGTTTAAGCAAATATTGTATGTATACTATATATTTTTTCTTTCCAAATTAATTACTATTATTTTCGTGTAGATATCTGGATTCTGCTATTAGCGGTTATCATACCAGCCGAATTCGCAAACAGGATAGTACAAGCGTCTTTGCAGCCGTTTATAACTCTGGTATACTTGGCGCAGAATATGTTCTTGATTTTGTTGAAAACTATTACCAAAAAATGGAAGAATAGTAAGTTGTCTAATATTTTTATAATGCAGTATAATTTTATACAATATTAAATTTATAAATTATAATGAGAACTATTAGAACCATATTGAACATCAACACAACAGAATACAAGTAACATTTAATTGCATAAATAAACGCAATGTATTATTAATGTATCTGCGTATTAATATGTGTTATCATATACATAACGTACTCTATAATATATATTTTTTTCGAGTTATTTTGAATTCTACAAAATGTTATTTAAACAATATTGAGGGATGTATTGAAAAAAGATCATGCTATGATTTATAAGTATGCAACTCTCCTTTTAGCTATGGAGGACAGGGTACAATAGCCGCAATCCTCAATGCAGCATCGCAGCGTTTCTCTACCGAACGATTAGTAAACAAATTCGAAAAATTCATAAATGATCACGAGATAAACTTTGCATCGATCCAAAAATCTCTGATGAACTCCTTAAAGGTCGCTAAATATGAATTAGATTGGTTTTACTCCTATTCGACATCTACAACTCAATGGATGCAAACAAACGACAACTTAGAATTTCGCCTACCCAACAATATAAGTCCTAAACATTATTTTATTTCCCTTACGCCTCATCTTGATGGAAATTTTACCTTCGATGGAAAGGTGACGATCAAAGCAGACGTAACGGAACCAACAAGTCATATTATTTTACACTCATCGGAAATTGAACCTCACGGAGTAACTGTGAAGGCCGATCAGGCAACAGTGAAAATCTTAAAGGAAAAATTCGTAGATCGATATGACTTCTACAAGATATATCTCGCAAAAAAACTAACTACTGGAACTAAATTGAACATCAAAATTAAATACACAGGTCATTTGAATGATGAGCTTCGTGGCTTTTACAAAAGTTCTTACGAGAGTGAAAAAGGAGCCAGGTAATGTTGAACATTATTATTATGGTATTATTTCTTCAATTTGCGTCAATCAAGTTATCGTGTTAAATATTTTTTTAATATGCTTTTTATTTTTAAAAATTCGTGTTTTTATAAAAACTTTAAAACTTTCTAAAAATTAACATATTTACTATTATTTACTATAATTTATTTTATATTAATAATTATTTTATAATAACGCCTTAACAATAATTTTATTTTAAATTTTAAGTTATTATTTTCATTAAATAGATTTAAAAAATTAAAGGAGACAAATATAAGAAAAGTAAAGAAATACTTTTTTTATATCTTATTTCTTTTTATTTATAGGATAACTCCGGTATTTACGCCGCGCGGAGATTTACACCGCAGAAGTCAGAAAAAATAGAAGGAGTGGGAGTAATTTGCACGCAACCACTCTATTATATGCCTTTATATATGTTATATTAATGTTATGTTATGATTTCAGTTCTTTACTGTTAATATTAATAAAATTAGTATTAATGGAATTGATTTGTGAATATAGTAAGTAGTATAATCATATATCATAACTTACATAAAATAATTATTATAGAGATTGCAAAAGGCGTAATGATTATTTGGTAATATACATGTAAGTGTACAGATACTATAGGATGGAATGTAGTAAAATACGAGTACTTAGCTCTTATATTCTTTATTCACTCAATATCTTGTATATACTACCTGTTTAGGACGTACGGCATTTTTAACGGATAGGATTTATGTTCTATGAAAGCATATAAAATGCGGATTAGAATTCGTGTAATAAATGCATTTCAATATTACACGAATCATGTACATATCATAACACTTGTAATATATACAAAAGATTATATAATTATTATCTATTATTTTATATACATATTTATCATTCTTGTTCATTAATAAAATTTTGTAAACACATTTTATAGATTTGGTTATTTTACTTTTTATTTTTAAGCATTATTTATAAATTTTTCATACGCTATACATCTTACCTATGAATAGTCATATATTCCATCCCTACGAACAATACATACTTTTTACCGGTATAGTTCATTTTAAACATAGTAATTAACATTTAGTAAATTAAGTTTTTGTTAGGTGCGGCGTATATATCGGAGTTATACTGACTAAAATTCTTACATTAAAAATTAAATGTTAAATGTTTGATGTACTAGATGGCTTGCAGCCTCGCATTTGGAACCCGTTGGAGCTAGAAAAATGTTTCCTTGCTTTGATGAACCAGCAATGAAAGCGAAATTCACTATTCAAGTTATCGTGTTAGAGAAAGATGGTTATAAACCTATCAGTAATATGCCACAACAGGAATACAAGATAATGTATGTATAATATATTTCTTAAGAAGAATTTAACTGGATCTCTTTCTTACAATTTTCTATAATCAATTGCAAACATTTTATTTTAGTATTATATTATTACATTATATTTTAATATTATATTTCTTGTCTCTAATAAAAAATAGAAAAAGTTTAATATTAATAAATATTAATATTAATATTTTTAATACAAAAATGTACCTTAAAAATATTGTGTATTTGGAATATCAATTCGTTAAAAAGTATTACAATATTAAAAATAGAGAACATTATAAGTGTGCATTTGCCATTTTGAGAACAAAATTACATCACACATTATAAATCTCACTCAAACACAAAAGTGTTAATTAATTCTTTAAAAAATGGTTACAGCGATGGTGGTACATCACATACTTTCTTTGAGTCAGTACCGATGTCAACATATTTAGTGGCAGTTATTGTTTCCGATTTTGATCATAAATTTGAACAAATAAATGGAACTAAATTAGCTGTATACGCACGTCCCAACGCCATCAATCAAACCGACTACGCTCTATCTGTAATGTATCAATTGATAAACTTCTTCGAAATAACGTACGATCAGAAATATCCACTTTCAAAACTCTATATGGCTGCACTACCTGATTTTGGATCAGGCGCAATGGAAAATTGGGGTCTTTTAACATATAGGGAAACGAGTATGTTATATGACGAGAATCATTCACCGATCACAAACCAACAAGATATCAGAAACGTGATTGCTCATGAAATCTCCCATCAATGGTTCGGAAATTTAGTCAGTCCTCTGTGGTGGAAGTACGTGTGGTTGAACGAAGGATTTGCTAGATACTTCGAATATCATGCTCCTGCTCGTGTACGTAATTAATACACTCCTTCAATGTAATGTCGATTTATAATTATTTGAAATTTAAATTTTTAATGCATACAAAATTTTTCTAAGGATTACAAAAATGTTTAAGATATTTTTAGATTGCAAATATGACAATTGCATTTTTCTGTACATATCCTTCTATTGAACATTTTAGTATAATAATTAAATAAATTAAAATAAGAATACTACGCACTTAGTAATAAAAGTTTCTCAAATAATAAATTTATTATTTACATTTCAGGCATTTAATGATGATACGTTGATATCGCAATTTGTGGTTGACCAAGTACATTCTGCTTTCAAAGCAGATAGTTCCTTCTCTACACATCCCATGAGTCATAATGTAACAACTCCTCATGAAATTCAAAATATATTTGATACAATCACTTATGCAAAAGGTGGTAGCATATTAAGAATGATCGAAAAAACATACGGAACCGACGTGTTCAATGAGGCATTAATTGACTATCTGAACAAACGGTATATAATAATAATATCTTTTTTTATTATAAATATTCTTTTTAACAAATGGAAAGTTTTCTAATTTTAACTGGTAATTGTCAAACGTTCACTGAATTAAATTGTTATATATTATAATAATTGTCATGTTTCAGTTACAAATAAATTTAGCTAAATAAAAATGTGGGTTTAGAAACTGCAAAATGTAATTAATACACGTTTTCATATTTCTAATTGTTTGGATAAACACATTATCTGCTAAATTTAAACATTATTCCGATACAAAAGAAATTTTTAATTAACTGAGTAGGTTTTTAATATGTACATAACATGTATATATATATATATAAATATATATATAGCTAAAGTTTATCTAAAAAACAAATGAATTATGATTAAGTAACTGTAAATAAATAAACTATTTATGACAAATAATTTATTTAGAAAGACGAGAAGCTATCGTTTTAATATTCAAGATATATAACAATTTAAAATTCTATTCTTTATACGGATATTTTTGTCAGATAGAATAAATCACTTTATAATTAATTTCTTAGAAAATATAACTTTGCTATACCGGACCACTTGTATGAATCACTTCAACTAAAAGTAGATAAGAAAGGACTAAAAGACAATGTGAAAGTTATCTTAGACAAATGGACAACTCAACCTGGATATCCCATCGTTGATGTCTCTATTACAAAAGATTTTATAGTTATGACACAAAAACGTTTCTTCCTTAAAGAATATGAAAATGCTCTTGATGATACTATATGGCATATTCCAATTACATGGGCATTAGTTCAGAATAGTTCAGACTTTAATTATTTTAATACCACGCCAAAATTATGGTTAAAAGAAAAATTGACAATAATAAAAAAACCATCGGACTTACCACCAGAATCACTTTTAATATTCAACAACCAGCAATCAGGTAATTATATGTAAACCAAATTAGAAACTACCCGTACAGCACAGTTGCTTGCAGCAACATTGCTGCAATATTACTGCAACTTTTGTGCCGTATAAGTAGAACAAGCCAGAAAGAATGATAAATTAAAAAAGTTTAATATTTAATAATTTTTAATGTGTGTGCAGCTGCATTATTCGATGATGTTCGCTATTTTGATATTTTTGCATTAAAAAATGTTTACATTTTTTTTAGGTTATTATCGTGTAAATTATAATGAACAACATTGGATGAAACTGATTGATTATCTTAAAAATCAGGATATTGAGACAATTCACGAAATCAATCGCGCAGCATTAATTGATGATCTTATGAATCTTGCAAGAGCAGATTATATCGACTATAAAACTGTTATATCTGCTACAATGTATTTGGAAAAAGAAAATAATTATTTCCCTTGGCGTGCGTTCTTCAATAATTTGCCTTACTTAAACAATCGTTTTGCAGGACGCGATAATGAAGGCATATATAAAGTACGTATGTTATAATTTAAATTTTTGAATCGTTTTATTCAGTTTTTTTAGATTTATTTTTAAAAAAACTTTTGTAAATTATTCCACAAAGAAAGATTAATATGTATGATTTTTCCAGAAATGGATAACATCGTTAATAGAACAACTTTATACACGAATAGGCTTTGAAGATCACATAGACGATAACAATCTCACTAAAATATTAAGAATACATACTCGCAAATGGGCTTGTGAATTAGATATAGCTGATTGTAAATTCTATGCTGCAAAATATTTCCAACAGAAGCAACATTCAAAAATGTAAGTCTAAAGACAAATTAAAACATATTCCTTTATTTTATAAAGCTATCCTATACATAATTCTTAAATGTAATTACGTAAAAAGTTTAAGTAATAAAAAAATTAAGATATAAATAAGGATGAGATATATGTAATACATATAACCGTATTTAAATTATCAATTTTTTTTACAGAATACCACCAAATTACCGCGATGTTGTTTATTGTACAGCCATGAAAATGGATAAGACAAATAATAGTTACACTTTTCTCTGGAAGGAATATTTATATAGCAATGTAATCACAGATAAACTTGTAATTCTTAACTCTTTGGCTTGTTCAGAAAATAAAGATATTTTAGAAATGTAAGTATGCAATCATATTCTTTTTATTGTCTGTATCAAAAACTCGTAAAAAATTATTGAATGGCATCCATAAAGTATATCTATACTTATTAATTATTTTATGAGATATAATAACAGCGTATGTTGCATAAAAATTACAACGTAAGAAACAACATATTTGATAAATTTTCTAATATTTATATTCTTGCCATTATATTGACTTTACGAATAACAGACAATTTATTAAGTAAATAATTTTTTTTTAATGTAATGCTAGATTAATTGCATTAATGATAACAAATTTATTTATTTATTATATTAAATAAAGATTATTACAAGAGGCAGTTATGGAGAATTCACAAATACGGTATCAAGATAGTGCAAAAGTATTCTCAAGCGTATATGATGCAAGTTTAATTGGCGTTGAAGTTGTCATGAAAGTAATTCAAATGTATTACGATGATATACTGCACCGAAAGTAAGTAAATCATTTTGTGCAATTATAAAAATTCTAATACTGTAATATAAATAACATACCATTTTTTTGTGTGTATGTTTGTGTTTATAGTTTCGATGATTATACAAAAATTGCAAATATAGTGAACGCTTTGGCAAGCAGATTATCTACTTATGAGCTCTACGATCAGGTAATTTATTATCATATTATTTTAACTTAATTTTATTTAATCAAAATTGCAAAAGAAATATCTTAAATTCTACAAGATTTTTATATGAAATAATGTAAATAAATAAATAATTTTTCCTTATATGTGTATGTGATATACATTTTATTAAATATTAAGGAAACAATTTAATAATAAAATAAAATAAAATATTTGCAATTAATAAAGCTTTATTTAAATTTTCGTTTAAAATGTCAATTTAAACTCTTCAAAATATATAAAATTTCTCTATATTATAATTTTTACCAAAATTTTATATAAATGAAACGAAGCTTTAATAAAATATAATTTAGAAGAATACTTTATAATTAATCAATAAATATCTATTCATGCAATAAAAAGTTTTTTTTTTTCCTTGTAGTACCAAAAATTACTTAACTTTCTGGTTCAAAAAGAACCAGAATTCGAGAAATCTGTCGCTTCCTATTTGACAACGGCGAAGAATGAATTTGATTGGTATGAAAGAAAAGTTCCAGTAATTTTTGAAGCATTGGACAATGTATTTCCCAGTAACATATATCGTTTGCCGAAAACTCTCATTCCAAAACTGTACAACATATATCTCATACCTTACATGGAAGAGGGCACTTTTACAGGAAAAGTGGAAATACACATGACAGTTCAAGAAAATACTACTTTGATAGTTCTTAATTCTCACAAACTCAACATCTTAAATGTCATAGTCTTCAGAAATGGCACAAAAATTGAAATACAGAATTATACGACAAAACATGTCGCGCAACAACTAAGAATATATTTATCCAACTACGTACATACAAATGAGAAAATAATAGCGGAAATTCAATTTAACGGAACTCTTAATGATGAAATGACTGGATTTTATCGTAGTTCATATTTAGATAGTGACGGAGTACAACAGTAAGTATAACATCTACATTATTATAATATACAATAATAAATAATTAATATGTATCTAATGAAATTTATTAAAAGAAAATTAAAGCAATTTGTAATTTCACTTTTGAATTTTATAATTGTACTCTTATTAACTATGACCTAATATAAATGTTAATGAGTAGAAGTAATACAATATTTAAAATTAATTATACTAGTTTTTAATATTTAATTTGTTTGTTTTCTTACAGTTGGCTGGCTACAACACACTTTGAGCCTACGTATGCTAGACAAGCTTTCCCTTGCTTCGATGAACCAGCGTTTAAATCAAATTTCACAATTAATATTCGGAGGCCAAATAATTACAACTCGCTAAGTAATATGCCACGCTTGACAGAAACTAAAGATTCAGAGTAAATATAATTAAAAATGTATTTAATACACTTTTTGCTATTACTACATGCTTCACAGTATAATTTTTAAATATAAAAAATATCTAAATATATTAACAGCTTTATATTATTATAATCATTTGTTACTTAGGAACGATAATTATACGTGGGACATATTCATCACTAGCAATGCCAGTATGTCAACATATCTGGTTGCATTCGTTGTCTCCGAATTTAAACCAGCGGTTGAGCCTGAAAATGTAACTCTCAACGTATGGGGTAGACCGGAAGTCGCGACATATGGCACATACGCTCGAGATATCGGTGTAAAAATTATTGACGAATTGCAGAATATTACGAACATTAATTATACTTTACCTAAGCTGGACTTAATAGGAATTCCAGATTTCTCTATGGGCGCAATGGAAAACTGGGGCCTTGCTACTTTCCGGTAATATTATTTTTCCTTAATGATTATTGAAACAGGTATACATATGTTATCTATTAAAATTTAGATTTTATATGCAGATAATTTCTATACTGTATAAGTAATCTGATTTTTTTTATCAGCGAGTATGGACTTTTCTACGACAAAGAAGGAATTACAGCCACATATGAAAGATACCTAATTACTGTAATAGCGCACGAACTTACTCATATGTGGTTTGGAGATCTCGTTACTTGCGACTGGTGGGATTATATTTGGCTCAACGAAGGTTTCGCACAATATTTCGAAGCGTTTACAGCCGATCGAGTACGTAATATTTTATATTTAAGATACAACAAAATTAATTCATTTTTCATAAAAAATGCTAGGGAGAAGAAAGAGAGAGAGAGAGAGAGAGAGAGAGAGAGAGAGAGAGAAAGAGAGAGAGAGAAATCAACTAACATTTAATTCTTTTACTTTTAAAATTGTTTAAATATTTAAGAAAACGTGTCAGTTTATTGTAAAATTAAATTTTTTAAATATTATAAAGAACCCAGATATTATAAATAATAATATAAAAATTTTCAAATAATAATAATTTTATCTTCACGTTCTTAGATATTACCAGACTACAAGTTCATGGATCAATTCGTGGTTTACGAATTGCATTCTGCTCTATCACAAGATGCTTCTATTTCAACACACCCAATGACAAATCCTGTCGAAACACCGGAAGAAATAGCCGGTATTTTTGACTACGTTACTTATGGAAAATGTATGTATGATATAATTTCATATAAAGATTATAATAATTAAACGTAATTATACGTAACAGATAATATTAAACAAATAAACACTTATACAAAATACAAATTTATTATTGTATAACAAATTATTATATATAATTGTTATTTGAAAATTTACTATTATAAAGTTATTATTCTAAAAACAATTATAATATATAATATGATTTTGTTTTACAAAATACTTTATTATTAAATTAAGTAGTTTATATATGTATTATACATGTATGATATTCAAAACTCAACATTTTTTAAAAATATTTTAATATTTAATATTAAAATATTTATACATTTTTTTTTATTTTAGCCGCTAGTGTCTTACGAATGATGTTTAACGCAGTCGGCCAAGAAGCTCACATATTGGCACTCCGTGATTATTTAACGAAACGAAAGTATCTTACAGCACGTCCTACAGATTTATGGGAAAGTTTCGAGTCATTTGTATGGATACCAATTGGCAATAGAAATGCAAGCGTCGAGGAAGTTGTGAATACTTGGACAAATCAACCAGGATATCCCGTTGTATATGCTACATTAAATAATAATATACTAACGCTTACTCAGGTAACATTATACAGTTTTTATTAAACTCTTCTCTAGCATTTCCTCACATCTACTTCTAAAATTCTATAACTTGTTGTAGAAACGATTCTTGATAGATAATAGAAATATCTCTAGCGATGAATTTTATTGGATACCAATTGATATATTCGTTTCATCCGACCTGTATGCCGGTGTATCTTTAAAAAGCAAAATATTGCTAGGACCGAAACCTGAGAGAATATTTATTAATTCTCTTAACGATTGGTTCATCGTGAATTACAAACAAACTGGCTTCTATCGTGTTAATTACGATAACTCCTCATGGAATGCATTAATTAGCACGCTAAATAGTAACAATTTCGAAGATATTCATGTTTTGAATCGTGCACAAATTATAGATGATCTCTTCAATTTGGCTCGTGCTAATTATGTAGAGTACAATTTACTGATAAGAGCATTGGCATATTTGGAACGTGAAACAAATCATTTACCTTGGAAAGCATTTTTCAATGGCATATCATATATCTATAGAAGATTTGAACAGCAAGATTTAAACAAGGAGAAGAATTTCCAGGAGAATTTAAATAAATACGTATTGAAATTATTGTCTAAAATGTATGATAATATAGGATTCAATGATCGCGATAATGATGATCATTTAAATAAGTTAAATCGGGAAATGATTCTCGCATGGGCTTGCAAGTTAAGTAAAACAGAGTGTATAAAAAAATCTGTAGACCTATTTACGGCGTGGCGTTATAATTCCGAACGGTAAGATTTTAACAAATTTTGAGTAATAATTATTACATTATGACATTTGTTTTAATTCTAAGTATCTGACATATGTACTTTCATGTGTCTTCATCTTGGTTTATATAAAAATTAGAAATTTTTATTTTTAAAACAACTAATATAGAGAAACAGGGCAATGAGCCAATAAATTAAGTTAAAAATTTTTTTAATTAATTTAATATATTGCGAACAATATCACATAATTATGGCGTTTTTATTTTTAAAACGTCGAAATAAGTAATTAAAAATAATACACATATACCTATTGTTTAGATTTAAAATTATCTTAGAAAATTATAATATAAAAAACTTCTAGAAAAAAATTAGAATTATAAATTTTTATATTTTTAGAGTTTATTTAAATGATTATGTAGGAACGTAGGATTATGTTATAAATTAGATAGAAAATTAAATTATCAATGCATTTATTGATTATAAAATTAAATTATCAATGCATTTATATTAATTATAAAATTAATTTATACTTTAATTTATTATAAAATTTATAATTTTCTTATTTATATAGAATTCCACGTAATGCACGACCAGCTGTTTATTGCACCGCAATAAAACAAGGAAGAGTAGATGATTGGATATTCTTGTGGTCTCAGTATCTACAGACGAATTTTCAAACAGAGAAAAAGATCATTATAAATGCACTCGGATGCTCAATAAATAAGGTGGTGCTTCGAAAGTAAGTCTCTAAACAGATGATGCAACAATGACATAACTTACTCTAAAAACAAGAAAATTTTGTTTACAAATATAATTTTAATTTAATGTTTACACTCTTAATACTTAAAATAATTAATTCAAACAAAATTAGCTAAAATATTTAACATTTTTAGTAAACATATTTGTTATTATAAAATATATTTTCTTTTTATATTTATATTATAAAACTACAATAGAATAGCCATAATAATCTTTTTAATTATTAATTCGAACCCTGAGCAATTATACGTGTATTTATAATTACTTAATTCACAATTTGTTTAACAGTTACTTACATATAGCTATTGAAAAATACGATCCTGCAAATGCTGTCTTTCGCCGACAAGATGTTTCAGCGGTATTTACTTCTGTATACAGCGCAAGTCCAATAGGAGTAAACGTTACCATTGACTTTTTAATAACAAATATCGAAAAATTATATGAATAGTAAGTATCATTACAGCGCTATCAGTTGCAATTGTAGTAATAAAATTTTTACTTGTACATTTTTGTTACAGTTTCGGAACATGGAATAATATCGCAGATATATTTGCTAATGTGGCATCGTATGTATCGAGCGAGGATCAATACAACCAGGTATGATTCAGAATTCTTATTTAATGAAAAATGACGAAAGATTTAATTTTAAAGAGAAAAACTTAATCAGACTTGTTTTACATTAATTAAATTACATGTCGGTATTACAATATTAAAATGTGTTTCACAGCGCTATATTAACTATTATCATTATTTAATTATTTAAAAGTATGACAATTATATATTAGATAATTTTTCTGAATAATAGATTAAATAATAATAATATATATTCTTCTCTTTTTTTCTAGTTGACATACTTTATTGAACATAATATAGATCTATATCCTCCAACCATCAGATCGAGATTAGTTTCTGCTCTTAATACCGCAGAAACTAACTTATTCTGGTTCAAAACTAACGGTGAGAAAATTATGGAATTAATAATTTCGGAATCTGCAAACGAGGAACACCCAAATAGTTCTACCAATTTAGAATCAATGAACGTCATTCTTATGACTGCTATTGCTTTAATATCGTATCTTTTAAATTATTATTAAAATATTAAATTTAACAAAAGGTAAAAATTGCTGTTTAGATTTTTTATCATGTATAATAAAAAATATATAATCTTGATTTATTTGAATACATTTTTTAAAACTAGGAATAGTAAAGTTATATTTTGTTTATATAATATTTTAGTGTATTTAATGCAAAATATTGTATTCTTATAATTAAGCTTTGTAATTAAGTGAATAAAATGACATAAGATAAAAATAATAATAATATACCATTTAGATTATTTATAATATATTATAAAATAATAACGTAACTGTATCAATCAAAATTTAATTTTAATACAGTTATATAAGATTTTATCTTATTATAAGAATTGTTTATACAAATGAACAATAACATTCCTTGACATATACGGTTTTTATTTTTTTATATCAATATGTGTATTGTTACGAACAAAAGATGTCACAAAATTATTTTATTTTAGTTAAGAAAACTTTTATTAAATCGATTATTTAGATTTCAGAATCGTCGCACTTCATCGCGGATTGATTAAATGTACATATAAAATGCGCGACATTAAGAATTTGCAGTATAATTATATATCGCTTCCAAGTTTTTTCGTTGTACTTTGTTTTAAATTAAATTATTTATATTTTAAATCAAAATCGTATTAATGAAAAATAAATTTATATAAATACAAACTTTCTGATACTCTCTCTTAAAATCGCTTTAATTATAAGCATTGTTACGATTTTATTCTTTTGATCTATCGATTATTTTTATCTCTTTTTACACTTGATTGTAGCATAAATTAGTCTAGCATAAACTATTCTGTTACACGCAAATACAACGTTATACGTTAATTTGATATATCGGATATGTCATAGCCGAGACAATGTATCTCATTATTACAAATCAATTATCATAAGACAGACTTATACTACGCAACCTGGCAAATATTATGGTCGTTTGCGTAAATATACTTAACAGTAATTGTACAGAGATATCTGGCGACAAATATTCTTTGTGTAGAGTCTACTTTTACATTTAATATTCTAGGGATACGTTTATTAATTTTATACAACATTTCTCTGTAACCAATTATAAATCTTATCATGATACTTATCGAACCATTTTATGTTAGATTCCGCATTTTCTATTACTTGCTGCAGAGTTCTTGTCGCATTACTAAACTCATCCAGGTGTTCTTTTACGAACTCTACCAACTGGAAAAATAACATACAAAGTGGGTATATTGCAAAACTTTTTTCCTTAAAAAAATAACAAGATTTTTATGAAAATTGATTACCAATCCATTTATTAAATTTATCAAAGGGCAATATTTTTTTAAATTAACGTTTACGTCATATTTTCTATTTAAATTATTTTTAAAACTTATTTAAATCTTTTTCAATATGTGTGTATCCACATTTATTTTTCATACTTATTATATTATTTTTTTCATAACTTACATCTTTGAGTTCATATCTTGTATTTATATTTCCTGCTACCGATGGTATGATAGAATTTATAGCTGATATTGAAAATGATATTCCAAAACTGGAAATGGTGACAGATTTATGTTATATTAAATTTTCACAAATAAAATATAATTTGATTTTAAAAAAATATAACAATTTAAACTTTAAACCATAATATAGTAAGAAGTTCTTATCTTCCTTTAGCTACGCAGAATTAATTGACTTTTCCAATTAATATTTTACTTCACTTCTAAGCTCTCTGTAACAGTAACATATAATACAAATATATGAAAATAAGAGAATACTTACTATTCCCTAAGATCCATCCATTTGTTTCTAATGTAATCAAACGTGAGTGACTGTCCGGCAATGTTACTAGCAACCAATTCGAAAACCCGAGTAGCATCTTGTTTTCTGATTCCCGAATTTTCCGTCACAGCCCAATCTAAGTACCGACTTAACAGCCATATCTCTCTCGTGCAAGATAATGCCTGTAAAAGCAGATTCTTCTCCGATCCAACATTGGTTGCTAGATACCGTTGCCAAACGAATGTCCATTCGCTTTGTCCACCTACTCGAATGGCCGTGCAATAAACCACTCCCCTCAAATTTGGTGGAATCCTAAACAAGAATTTGTAATAACTATGTAAATATATATAAATGGCTTTATTAATTATTTTTCAAAAACAAATTTTACAATATTGTAATTAGTATATTTAACGCAAGCAGGATGAATCAGACAACTCAGAACTGCGATCATGTGCATTGAGAAATACAACAGTGTACTAATAAATAATTTTGTTTAAATTGTATATATGTGATATTTCTATTTACGGATTATTAATATCCGGATTAGGAGTGTTACGCCAATATTTGAAGTATTGCACAGCTTTCATAACGCAATGCTCATGGTCGAAATAACATGCCCAATTTAAAATATTAATTCGATTGAAGACTGTCATCTGAGGATCTTCCACTTTATCAATGAAACCGACTTGCTTGTATACATTACTGAGTAGATTTAATACGTGCAACTGAAAAGTATTAACAATATTAAAGATTAGAATATTAATATGATATTATACATACCTATATACTTTATACTAATGTCATAAAACATTGAATTAATTAATCATTGAAATTTGTTTCTCACAGATATCTATTACTCTTAATCAATGATAATTTACCCTAAATTTATCGTAACCCCGTGATTTAATTAACATATTATTAAGGTAACTTATAGCCCTGAAAGCTGCTTTCCAGGGCAAATATTCGGTTTCATGGGCCAAATAAGACGTGACATTGAAAGCAATGTCGTAATCAAGTTTGCCAGCTCTGGCCAAGTTAAGAGCGTCATCAACCAATTGTGCTCGGTTAATTACCAAGATATTTTTAAAGTTCTTAATATTATTCAATTGTTTGATTATCAACCTCCAGTTTACTATATCATAATTCACTCTGTAATATCCTATTAAAAAGTACAATATTGAATGTGTTATCATATTTATTTTTTCATATTAACAAATAATAAATAATTCTATCACTTTTTAAAACATTTAGAATTGCTTTTTAAATAAAAAATTTAAGTATGTTATTACTAGAAAATTTATTCTCTCTAAATATTTCTAATAAACTTAAAACAAAGTTTCAAAGAGATATTAAATAGAATTAGTCTAAATTAAATGATAATTATATTAGAGATAAATAATAAATTTTGCATTATAAGAATATTTTTTTATTTTTGTTATGGAGAAATAATTACCAGTTTCTTGCAGATTAAAAAGTATCCACTCATATGATTTTACATCTAAATCATTAAGAGTGATCGAACGTTCTGCTTTCATCCAAATTGTAGGTTGAGTGTTATTAAAGTTTAATTGCTTCTCACTCGTATAAGTGATTGGTATCCACCATAATGGTTCCGACTTATCAGATGTGATTCTTGTAATGTTGTGGTCAAGCAGAAATCGTTCCTGCGAGAAAAATGATGCATACAATACTAGATATATAAATATCTCTCTCTCTCTCTCTCTCTCGCTTGCCAAACAATTTATTTATCAAATAATTATTCTACTAATAGCATTATAATATTATTCATATATATATATACATATATTATACATTTTACAAAAAGGTAAAAAAGGCGCCAATTATAAACAAAAAATACATATATTGTTGAAACATTAAACTATCAAAATAATTATTTTTTTCAAGACTGAAATCCAAATGCTAACGTCTTTATGCCTATAATGATATTATATGTGTATAATCTTCTAACTCTATACCTATATATACGTATTTTCAATTCCATTCTATTCTAAAAAATACATGAAAAAAAAACTTGGCGCCGTGTATTGTAAGTTATTATTTTTCAATGAATTTTTTATGGAAATACATCATAAATTTTATTTTTTATAATCGAGGACCCGCACTGCTATTTGCTTCTGGCGTCTCGCATGTGACCATTTAGAAGTAACCACTCACTTCAGCATCATTACAATAGTAACAACGTAAAATATGCTGTCAAATGTCAAATTTGTGTCTGAACTAGTGCAGTCAACAGAGGGTGCCTTCCAACAAGTGACACAGATGACACGATATTAAACAAGGATGAAATGAACACTGTGTTGTACCGTGTCGCTTGTTGGAAGGCACACAGATTGTGTCAAAGTGCCATCTGAAGGCAAAAATATGAAAAAGAAACCAAAATCTGAGGTCATGACGTATTTGAATCTTAATTTTATATACATTTTAGATTTTGCATCGCGATATCTCCGTTTATAGAGCACGTAGAAAAAAATAAAAGCACTTTCATTACACAACCTGAGCGGTAGCTATCGATTGAAGCGTAGAACTTGATCGGTTTAACCGTTATTGAGATCCAATATTCTTGATCGTTCGCAACTCATCGACTCGCGTAAAAGAAGCACGGTGCGTCTCGCGCTGCGTGTTCACTTGGCGCGAGACACTACCATATCTCTTGACATTTCATGATATTTTATGACAGAATATCTGTCTATAGAATAAAGAAAATGTTGTGTAAAGAATTATTACAAATAAGGCACTTCTACTTTAATTAAATAATAATTGCCATTGAAATAAGTCATACTTTATTAAATTATCATATAATTTGTAATTATGGCATACCTGTGTCAGCATGATACTACCATTGGTATAGTTTCGTGAGATAGTAACTACGGGAAAGCCGGTTTGCAAAGTCCAAGTATCCATTATTTTCTTAACAGTTACGTTTGAATCAAGTACCTTGTCTTTGTGAGCTTGTTTGGTCAAAGCGGTCCATAAATCATTTGACTCGGCATTTTGATAGGCTCTGAAAATACATAAAATTTTTAACAATTATTTCCGTATTACATAAAAATATATTCACATTTGTAACATTACTAAAATATTTATGACGTTGCAAAAATTTATTTACATTCATAACATGATCAAAATATTACATGCACTGAGAAAAAAATATCTTAATTACAAAGAAATTTTCATTGATTCAAAGAAATATTCTCTTTTAATACAAATAAAAAATATTTTTTTTAATTAAGATGTTTTTTCTCAGTGTGTAATTACATGTAATAAATATTTTGTAGTATCATTTTGCAAAATGATATTGAAGAGACAGTATTATTAAATTGTTTTACATATATACAATATTAATAATAATTGTCTAATTAATCTTTACTTACCTTTCATTCAAATAATTAGTCAGACCTTTCTTAAAAACATTTGTTGTAAGAAAATGATCCATCATTCTTATTACAGCAGAACCTGAACAAATTCAATGTAGATATATATTATTAATTTTGAATAATAAATCAGACACGAACTTTTGCACTAATCTAATAATCTAACAACACAGCTCTGTTTAGAATTATTATATTTCATACATCGTCATAAAATTTTAATATACCTTTTACATAAATAATAGTGTCAAAGATTTCATTAATTTCATCCGGATAGTCAACTTTAATGGATATAGGATGGGAAGATTCTAAAGCATCTAAATTGAATATACTTTGAAGTTCGTGAACAACATATTGTTCCAGCATCCTCCATTCCGGTTCCACCTACATATTTCAAGAATGTAAAATTTACATTATAATGTATAGATTCGAACGAGTTCAAAGCATTTTACGTTTTTATAAATGTTATTCCATTTATCAACACACATACGCGAAATATGTAATAATCCCATATAAATGCTTACCGCATTCGTGCCAATGTATTCCATGTAACTGGCAAAACCTTCATTTAGCCAAAGATCTGTCCACCAATTTAGAGTTACTAAATTCCCAAACCACTGATGCGAAAGCTCATGTGCTAATACTAGAGCTACTAACTGCTTACTATCATTGTTCGTTATACCATCCTCCTCTTCCTGATACAACATTGCTGTCTCTCTAAATTGATAAAATATATTGTGCTTCTATATCTTACGTAATTATTAGCATCTTTTACATATTTATTAATATAAGTTGTAATTTAAATAACAAGATATATATAACTTATAATAATACAAATATGTACCAATTTAAAGAAATTTATAAAATGCCTCTCTAACATTTTAAATATATTTTTGCTAACACTCGCATAAATTATCTTCTAAATTAAATTATTTGTATGATAACATTTTTTGTCAATTTTAAATCAAAGTAGCTAAATATATTATCTTATTACTTATTGTTTAAATGTTTGTTGATTAATCACGAATAAAAATATAGAGTTCAATATAATTACTCCATTGTGATTTTATTTGAAAAAAAAAACTTCTGTCTTTGTGATTAATGTTGCAGCTTATTAAATAATATTATTAAAAATTTTTATTAATATTATAAATAAAAATAATTAAGGGAAGAGATAAGCTTACTATTAAATAAATCCGTTTATGCAATTAATGAAATTGTAAGACCAAATACTTTTTAAAAATATCGGTTTATAAAAAGATATGAAAATATTAACATATTTGCAAATTGGCTTTATCTATTTAATATGTAATACATAAATAATTATGTATGTATATAGAATATTTATTTGGAAGAATATTCTCTTATTAATACAGTAATAAAGTTAATATAATTATTATTCGTCAATTTGCACTCGATAATCTTACCTAAATGTCATTAATCCCCAATTCTCCATGGCGCCAGCTTCGAAATCTGGTAAAGCAACCATGTCCATCTTCGGCAAAGGGTACTTAATCTTAAAATAGTTCTCAAAGAATTTAAGCATTTTTGGTCCAATACTCAAGCTATATTCTGATTGAGCAATAGCGTCGTGGCGTGTCCAAACTCTAAATTCGCCATCTTTTGATTTTCTCACATCAAAATCGAAAACTATGAAAGCTACTAAGTACGTAGACATCGGTACCGAACGCTCATATTGATCCCACACGTACGTATCTAAATCGGGCCTGATTATTAAACAAAAACAAGAATGCTTTAAACTCTGTAATACACTCACTTAAATTTTAATAATTCATTCGAAAATTCATATCTCTTAAACAAAATTACACATATCTATTTTGAATTATTTGTTATTGCATATGCTTTTACTCAATAATAGAAAAATTGTATATCTGTGAACTTTATTAATGCCAAGTGATGTACATTAGATTATGTGATATACATTAGATTTTTTATAAATTTTATTTGTAAAATACTATTATCTTAATTATGTTAAATTTTATATTAGAAATACTTTGCTCTGAATAAAAAACTAAATCATAAAAAGAGAAAGCTAACTAAATTATAAAAGAGAAAGTTGAATCATAAATTTAACCGCGATCGCGGAATTATTCCAAAAAATATGTGGATCAGATTTACGAAGAGAGACACAGCTGTGCTAATTTAAAAATATAATACAATTACTTACAGTAGCGTCGTTTCCTCTTTTTTGGGCATATTTGAAATAGATGTCATGTTTTTAGGACGCGCTATGTTGATTTGAAACTTGGCTTTCAAAGCTGGTTCGTCGAAACATGGAAAAGCACGGCGCGCATCCGTCGATTCAAACTGAGTTGTAGCAATCCATCTATAATGCAGAAACCAAATACCTTTGACAAACTGTCTACAATCTCTGTCTGAAAGTGCATGTTTTAATCAAACACCTGACCACAACGAGATTATTCAAAGAATAATTACTCTATAATTTAAACACATCGCGATAATATATAAATATGAAACAATATTAAAAATCAAGAAATTTTATAATTTCAAGAATATCTTTCTTCTATCTTTTCTCTTCAAGAAATAAATTTGAACTTGCTTTTTAACGTTTAAATTTATCTAGTACTAATACAGTGCTTTCTCATTTCATTAAGATTGTATAAATTAAAGTTTTAGATTGTAAATTTTATATTAATAATTGCGCAGTAGCGAATATAAAACAGCTTTCTCTCTTTTTCTATTAGAATCCGCTTAAATTTAATAGTACATTTAACTAAATCAAAACATAAACACAAATTTAAATTTATATCATCCACAAAATTTTATAATATTGGTTACCTTGTCTGATTGCCAACCATATACGAGCTTCTGTAGAAACCGTGCAAGTTGTCATTCAAATATCCAATAAACTTGAGATGTACGATGTACTGCTTGCCTTTTTTTAATTTATTCGAAGTTTTAATCACATAAAATTGTCTATCGGTATCGTTTTTCTGCTCTGCAATCCCGATTACCGTAGTTTCATTATTACTCTCATCGAGCTTAGCCGAGTACTCCCTGATACTCGTAAAGTCTTCATCAATCTTTATGTCGACGGCATGTAAGGTAACATTATTTGTATCGTTTGTCACATTTACTAAAATTTTGATCTAAACAAATTAATAATACTTCTGCTTTTATAAGGCAACCTTTATAAATAAATTAATAATGCGTTCAATCTTCTTCAAATGCCACGAAATTTTAATACTAAATTTTAATTATGTGTAAAGTTCTTAATTATATCATTATAGTATCCAAAGATACTTTAGAATTGTATATGGTATACAGAGAATCCTATAATATAAAAATGCATAATTTTAATACTATCGTGACATTAGAATTCTCTTTACAGCCTTTATTGTCATATTGGACCGTGACGTCAGCGAGAAACATGACATGTTAAAGTTTCTTGCATGCCATTTGTAAATAAAGAGAATTGAAGTAAACAAAATAATAAGATCGCTTTGAAACATTTGTAAAAAGCCAAAGTTATTCTTATCCCTTCCACCAATCAATACATAAATAGTCATAAAAGACGTAAAGTGCGTTTATCAGTATTTACTTAATGCGCAGCTTATTTTTACTTTAAGTGCTTTTTACAACTCTTCTGATTATCAGGAAGTAAGACTAACTTTAGCCCATTTTTATAAGTGTTTTAAAATTATCCTCTTATTTCGTTTATACAAATTTTCTTTATTACAATTAGCATGCAAGAAACTTCAATATGTATCAATTCTTGCTTATAATGTCACGATTCTATATGGGTATGGCAATTAGTCAGGAGCTTTAATATATACGCATTGAAAACGTTAAGAATAGCACGCATGGTGGGATGAGATGATTTGTCTAATTTTCCATAAATTTAGAATTGGAATATGACAATTGCATTAATTTCTAAAGGCATGTTCATGCCCTCTTACTCATATAACGCAACTCATATATTGTTTTAACCTTTCGTTAACAACAAGGATAAAATGATATACGGAAGCATTTGGATGTTGTCTCCTAATGTAACTTGAGTGCGTTTCTTCAATAATATAAAAATTTAATTTTTGTATTTAGAATTTAAACGTAAGTATATTTTATAATTATTAACTTGATTACGCGTTGCAATCTGCGTTGTGCTCATTTTGATCTGTCGCATGTTTCTATTACTTTTGAGAGAGTTCATTAATACTTTTATATAATAAAAAATATTACTAAATTAAAAAACATTACCTTGCCGTGGAAGGTGAAGTTGCCTTCCCATATGAATGGTATCAGCCATAATTCGTACAAATCCGGCAAAACATCTTTCGGTAATCTAATATCTATATCTTCCTTTGTTGGTATCGTCGGAGAGAAAATATCCGTTTCCGTGCTTGGTGAAACTTGCTTCTCGTGACAAGGTGCAAAATAATATACTAATAAACCAGTAGCGACCAAGCAGAATAGAAAAAAAACGCCTAGCAAGCAGGCGCAATACCAAGGAATTGTACAGCCATTTTTGCGTCCGAACATACTCGTATTCGTGTCCATCGTTGCCAGAACCTACAAGACTGAGTCATATACATAACTGGCAAAAAGGCAAAAAAGTATACACGTACATCTTCAGTTTTATCGCTTCTGCATTTGTGTAAACTACACTAATATTACCCCCGTATATAATTAAATACAAATGAGTTTAACGTCATTTTTTATTATCTACGGCACGTCATCAAATTATTTGGTGCTCACTTCATCATATCTTTATATCTATTTTCATTATGTTCTTATATTTATTCTTATATAATCAAATTAATAATTTTAATGGACCTTATAATAAAATTATGCAATCAATTTTTACTATATTTTGTAAACATTTACTTACATTCGTAATCATAATTACCGACGTACATTTTTTTTTGCTATCATACTTATACGTTAAATATTTTTAAAAATCTAATAAACAAATTTTTTTAATTCTATAAAGAAATCGTGTCTAAGTTTAACAAAGAGTTTATTATTGAAATCAAGATTGAAGTTTCCGCGAAATATAAATATATTTAAAATCAATAATTAACACATTTTATTTCTTGCATAACACTTTTAAATACATATAACATTATCGTAAATGCTACCGTAAAAGGTTTCCTGTGCTGACGATTCCATGAATAGTTTTGTTTGTGTAAGGTAGTAAGTACAGACTAGCTTCGCTACAAATGCAACGGTAATTAACAGTTGCTTTAAATGTACATTCATATACATATAGACAGTGAATCTGCATGTGTTTATATTGTATGCGTATCTAGTATTATCTATATCAACTAGAGTTCTTAATTTTCCAAAAAAAAAAATCGAGGAAAGAATACTGAGTTTTTTCCGGTTTTTTCTGAAAAATACGGAAACAATTTAAAAACATCTTTTAGAGTGTTCTTAATTTTCCGGAAAAATTAAAATCGAGGGAAAAATTGTGTATTTTTCAGTTTTTTTCCCGAAAAATACAGAAAAATTAAAATAAAAACTCTGTTTAACAAATATAGACAATAATACGATTGATACGAGATACGAACTACGAACAATACAAACGATTGATACGAAGATACGAAACGAATGATTGATATGATTATGACATTTATGAACATATCTGCAAACTTTGTCGTACAAAACAATCGTACACAGCAATACAATATGTAATAAGCAATAACATCCTTATAAGGAAATTCTTGTTCCATACTGGCATACTATAGTATTGAACTTTTTATACGGTTTATCAAATCTTTTTTTCTTTTCATTTTGGAAAGAATAAGAGACCAAAAGGGTAAATATTTTCATAGATTCAGTTCTGGGATATAAAAAAAGAACAAACTTAGATTTTGTTCTCCTTGCTTATACTTTTTGCAAGTGTCTTTGCTTTCTCTGTTTTCAACACACGAGATATATCTGTTTGTCTCATTCTCGTTATTAACAATCGTTATCAAATACGTACAAAAAATATCAATATATACTGATTCAAAATTTACAAAAGGTAATTATTTTTATCTCTTTATACTGCCAGATCATTAAAATTTAATTTTATAATTTCACAGTTTCTGTCATGATTCGGTTAAGGTTCTTTGTTCAACAGTTCTATTTATAATTATATTCAGTATTTGCCATGTAAGAGAAAGAGAGGGAAGAGAGAAACTTATTCATAAATTAAAAAAAAATTTTTTTTAGTTCTTAAAAGTTAGTTAAAAGTAAAAGAGAGAAATTAGTAATTTAAATATAAATAAAATTATTATAAAGAAAAAAAATGTTGGAAAAATATGGCAAAAGAAAAACCGAAAAAAACTCGTTTTTTCCCAAATTTTCCGAGAATTTATTCAGACTGAGAACACTAATATATATCAACAAATAAATATAAGGAAGAAAATGAAGAAAAAAAAGTATTCAAATATAAATACAATATTCGTTTCCATCAATGTAGATTAATTTTAATCTCGGTTCAACTCTTCGTCTTTTTCTAATATTCTTAGAATTAGTTATCTTTTGCATTGAAATAGCATGCAAAATAGTCGGTCGAAATAATCGCAAAGCTAAAGCGACGTATCATACAAACCTAATTGATGTGGAAATGCTATACCTACAATACAATTCTTATGTAACGACACAGAAAAGAGGAACATACTCATTTAAACTTCAATACCTTCAATACTCATTTTAAAATCTGTACTATGCTTTAACCGTCTAGAAAAAATGTTTTTATAAAATGTTACTCAAATATTTACTCAAATATAAAAAGTATTATTTTTTCAACATTCTTTTAGTATTAATATACAAAAAAATAAATACAAAATATATTCTTCATCAAATACAAATATCCGTGAGACCATTGCATCGTCACTATTCCGGTTGTACATTCCAATTACAAAACCTTTAAAAATATAAGACTCCATGAGAATTACATACAGTCAAATGTACCTACACATATATGCGAATAGGCTAAGCTGTTTGATGAGGAAAAAAAAACGAAATCATAGAGACACATGAGACAGGTGGGTCGGTCACGCAAATAGTGAGACAAAGCGTAACGATTTTCTCAACGCTTTATAAATAGCATTTATTTCATAGCACATATTTTCTCGGACAAATAGAAAATGCAGTCGGTATACAATTGCATACGCGCCGAATTAGGAGACATGGTAACGTCTTGAGGTTAAGAGCAATGATATCATAACATTTTAGTAACAATTAATATTATTACTTATTAGGTATAATACACTGAGAAAAAAATTGTTCATTTGACTCAATTAAATTAGTCTTTTTATTTCTTTTGTTGAAAAAGATATATTTATTTAAGTCAAATATAATACGTTCTTTATCAGAAAAAATAAAAATGAGCTAAATTAATTTGATTAAATGAACAATTTTTTTCTCGGTGTACAGACTGCACGGACGAGTAAACGAAATGCAAAGCGTTGCTCTATTTTAAAAGCTTTTTATAAAGCCTTCTCGAATAATCGTAGGATAAACAAGAAGATAGATTTTTTTTGAAATAGAGATCGCGACTGATCGCGAGATGACAGCTGAGGATTCGACTGCGAAACTTCAATATGAAAAGGGACGTGTATAACAGGTATAGAATAAAATTTATTGTTAGTGTTAAAGCAAATAACCAGATGATCAACTTTATCACTTTTTGAAAAAAAAAGCCAATATAAACAAAGCTATATTTCTAACTCATATTAAATAACTTAAATTCTTTTTACTTTAAAACAAATATTATTAACATAAACTGTTGATTAACAAGTTTATTAACATAAACTTGTTGAAATGTTTAAAACAGATACAAAAAGATGATAAAATTAATAATAAAGATATTTCACGTTTTAACTAGCCTATTCCATATAAACATATATCATTTAAATTTGGAAATTGTGGAATATTATTTGAACCCTAATTAACAAAATTTTCACTCGTACACATATTAAAATAAAAATAACAGTTTTCACAAAATTATCATATCTAGAAAACATTTGTTGCATATACCAGTAAAGACAATCGTTAAAAATAGTTTTATATTCCAAACAATTTGAGTGAGCGTGTCAAAGAAACGAATGTGGGCCTAAATTGATAAAGCTCTTGTATTTACGATTTATAAAATGAATTATTTAATTAAATTATTTGAATTTTAACTTTTAAATAATATATACTGAATTAAGTAATATATACTAAATAATATGTATATCTGTCATATAATCACGTAAAATAAACTATAATCTTACGCGTGTATTGCCTAATTTGTATTTTAATGGCGAGGTGCGGTGTTGAATTCAGCAAACACTTTAATATCACAAATTAAATAATATCACATATTTGACTACGTATTTTTTTATTTGCAGATAATTCACTTTTTACTGGAGAATCATTTGCACTAATGTAAATTTGCTGCACTTATGTGTTTCCGCGTTATAAACATTTGCGAAGTAATCAGTTACGTTGACTTTGCATCCTAAAAGAGATAACTGCCTTAGATAGTTTGAGAAATCTGAGATGGCATTGCAATTTCGACCATCATACTGATTATGAGCATCCGTTCGACGGTTCGCGCGCAACTGTCAAGAGACAGAGCATGACAACTTTGTCGTTTTCTCTACTGGAAGAGGAAACGACGTAGTTGCGCGATATTTTGAATTCAGCTTATAGCAGAACGTTCATATAATATTTATATTTTAAAAAAATCCATATTTCTTATTTTTTTATAACGTAAATACAAATTTTTTTTTAATAAAAAATCTAATTAATTTTTTTAATAAATTTGAGAAATTAACTAACATTTAACTCTCTTACTCTTAAAATTTTAAACAAATTGATCAGCTTTTTTACGTTGAGTTTTTCATAAAAAAAATAAAGATATTATATTTATTATTTTTAACAAATTATATATGAATATATTCATGAATTAATTTAAGATTTACATGTTACAATTTACTTTACCATATGTATTTCAATTTTAGCACATTTAAATCCATATACATAAAAGAAATAGCTGATATTTTTTATTAGATTACTTAACAAAATTTAAACAATAAAATTCTATACATTTATAGAAATGCAGAACGCAAAAGATATAAAAATTATTATAAGCTCATTATTTCAAGAGCTCATTATTTCAATTTATATTACAATAACACATATCTTATTTTATAAATATAAAACCTTATTATTATATTAAGCACATAGTTCATACATACATTGATATTAAAACCTCAACATTTTACTAAATAATTTAATATTTGAAAAGAAAGACTACTCTCTAATGTTTTTTATTAAAAAAGAAATTTTTATGATCCGTATTCTTTTATGTAATAATTTACTTCTTTTTAAAAGCTAAGAACAACGAATGGTATTTTTTTATGCAACGCTTATGTTGTACTTTAGCTGTAAGTACACAGAAAATTGTATTTTTATTATTAATCGATCTCTAACAATAGAGATACGTAAAATAACATAGTAAAATATTATAAGACTCTAAAAAGTACCTAATATGAATATGAATAAAACGTGAATAAAGTATAAATAATAATGTGTGTGTGTGTGTGTAATGTTCGTTTATTAAAAGATTCAATTTTTATGTTGTGTGTGTGTTATATTCTAATTTTTACTTTTTTATTAATACATTCACATTTATTTCAATTTTTAGTAATTATCAAAATACATCAATTTTTTAATAATATTTCCAAAATCATTTCATATAACGTTTGTACTTACCATAAAGTAAGACCATGATACAAATAATGATACACATATTGCTTTATATTAACAATAACAAACTAATTAGTTATATTAATTTTATATTATATAGATATTCAAATCAGTATATAATTAAAAAATCAATCTATCTTCACACAAACTTAGTTT